AGTTTTATTTTAGGGGACGGGTTTCTAAAAGTTAAAATGACCCGTTGGGTCATTACATTATGAATATAAAAGTTAAACTTATTAAATTATGTAACTTTTAATCCTTGATAAAGTATTTTTCTATCAGAAAAAAAAAATCAACCAACATTTAGTTTGATATTCCTAATCTACCATTATTGATATAATACACAAGTCAAAATAGATAATTTAACTCCATCAAGTAAGTTGGATAAATGGGATACTAACTGCCACAAATTATTTTCAGTTGCGAAATATATTTTTCATAAAAATAATTTGGATGTTAGTTTACCAGTTCACATCATCGCCCTACTCCTAATTAATATATAGAGTGTCAATAGATTAAAAAGCGATTTGGTACTATTATTCTACCAGAAAATGAGGCACGAGCTCATATATGATGATTGTTAAGATAAAAGTACAACTTTAGATTGTATCAGTTCAACTAGAGATAGACAATTCAACAACACTCTACTCTTATATAATTGGGAATTTACCAAATAGCAAGTCGAGTAATTGATATCTTATATTTTATTTTCAACTAGAGATAAAAATTTCAAATAAAGGAGCCATACTTTTTTTCTTTTTCGGGGACGAGGGCACGAAATCATTCTAAACTATATGTAGGGAAGTTAGCAAATAGCAAGTCAAATGTATTGATATCTCATATTTGAGGGAATTAAAAAGAAAGAAAAAAGGAATTGAGAGTCTCCTAGCCTATATAATACATTCTGACAAAATCAACTACTTGGACAATTTCAAAAGCAGGTTCCAGATGTTAGGGTAGACCATTTCAAGTTTCCTCTCTAGATTGGTTGAATCTGAAAACTCAGCTGTACAAATTCTACACTGCAGTAAACAATTAAAAAAAAAAAAGGGAATAGCAGAAGCTGAATTAGTTTTTATATATTTTCTTCTATTTTTTTTTCTTTTTTATATAGTATTTACTTAAGAAGAAGTTGAGAAGATTTAAGTCAAGAATAGTATGGCTCTTAGAAGAGCTTTGAGATTAGAAATCATAATACTGTGTTTTGCATTTTGGAGCTAGAAGATGATTGGAATTCGAATTGTGACATTTTATTGATTAAGTTATCCTTTTAAAGATGGTGTGTATGGTTTAATGTGGGTAAATATTATGTTAGGCTCAGACTGGAATTCTTCTTATTTTGTCCTTAGTTTAGAGACGTACTCCTAGTAAGAGCGGTAAAAAGAAAGCACGAAAACGTGTTTAATGTGGCTGCTGGGATTCGAGCCCAGGTCTCCACGGCCACAACGTGGAATTCTCACCACTAAACTACAGCCACCTGATATTCATTCTTTCAACAAGTGATTATATTATTACATCTATTTTATCATTCCTCACTCACTCGATTCTTTCCCCTTGAGCTGCCAACACTATCTTGGACAAATTAGTTCGAGAAAATGACCCTAACCCTTTAAAATTTTAATAGCCCATATTTTTTTCCATTGACAAAAATATCTCTTCGGCCCAAATATATTATATTTAATAGCTCGAAATATTTATTTTGTATATATTTTGTATAGTGACAGTGTATTATATATAAATTGTATAGTAACGATCTATTTTCTATATAAATTGTATAGCGACAGTCTATTTTGTATAGTGATAGTCTATTTTGTATATATTTTGTATAATGACAGTCTATTTTGTATATATTTTTTATAGTGACGGTCTATTGTATATATTTTGTATAGTGACAGTCTATTGTATATTTTTTGTATAGTGACAGTATATTTTGTATATATTTTGTATAGTGACAGTATATTTTGTATATATTTTTTATAGTGACGGTCCAGTTTGTATAGTGACAGTCTATTTTATATCCCAAACACTTTAATCTATCCAACATGTATAGATTGTTGTATGATGTATAAAAGTGTATATATATTATTCATTTACCTCAACCTTATCTATCCAACGTGTATAGACTATTTTGTATAAAAATTTATAATTAAGAAGCTGCTGACATTTCTATTAAAACAAAAATCAAAGAACGGTAGTGAATAAAAATAATAGGTCCGCCTCACAAAAAGATTAAAGTAATTCTATTGAATCACAACTCACAAGACTCATGTTACTCTAATTAGTTTTTTTTTTAATTTAAATTTGTTGCTATTTTTTAGTTTCTATTAAACAAGCATAATTTTTTTCTGCTAATTGTAAGTGTTAGTAAATTTAAGGAACTCATTATTCGTAATATGAAAAATTGGGTGTGTCTCTGACGAATATTTAAAGGGTATTTTACACCTTTTAATTTTTATCCATAAAGCAGGAAACTGATTCAAAATTATCTAACTTGACCTTAAAAAGCAAAATATGACACTTATTCAGATTAGAAGAATATAAAGACCAAACCTTTAAAACAAAAAAGAAGTGGGAGAGAGAGAGAGAGAGAAAGAGAGAGAAAGAGAGAAATTAAAACATGCTCATTTCACTAATGTTGGTACTTTTGGTTTTAGTTATATGAAATTTTCATTTCATTTCTCCATTTCTTAAGTTATTAAAAAAGAAGTGATATCGACTTTGAAATAGCTTTCAGTTGTTTACTAAATCATGCAAATTAAATGGAGTTAAATAAGAAAATTTATTTATTTTTAAAAATTTAATAATTTATGGTGGAGAAATAATGAAGAGTAGTAGATCAGAATAGATTTAAAACTCTACTTTGCAACTTGAAGAGTTGATCAAATGGGTCAACGTATTTTTTTGTGTGTAGCCAATGTAATAAATTTTTGGCTATAACTTGCAATCAAATTTAATAGGCTAGTGATTGTGTTAATTTAGTGCCGAACAGCCATAAATGAAGTTTGCTCTATTAGTTCTCGGTATATATTTGATGAAGTTTTCTCTTAGTTTGAACGCTAACAATACAAAGAAATTTGTTTAAGGCATTTAATCACAAGAAAATTGATTTAAGGTTAATATATTATTTTCTTTATTTTTGTTTAGGTTTCAGAAGAACAAGATTTTGGTAAAACTAATTCTGCTAGGTAGTTGTTAAAACATGGATGCGAATTCCATATCTATGAGTTAATCTGCTCCATCTATAATTAGATATTTAAGTTAACAACAACATTATTAGTGCCATCTAAAACATATCAAAACTAAAAAAGAAAAAAAAGAAAAAAAAAATAGAGGATTAACCCCATGGGCGTTCAGGTTTAATCACAAGGGTCGAGTCTCAAGGTTGCTTTTAGTAAACATTGTTTTCCACAAATAACAAGTAAGATAGAATCCCGACAAAATCGATGAAACGGAAGAAATTTCAGCGAAGGGAAAGACAAAATAAAGGATAAATATCACTTTCACCTTATAGGCTATATTTGTAATTGTGAATTTAAATTAAAAAAAGAAAGATATTTAAATCAAAAAATTGAAAAGAGCAAGTAATAAACTAATAAAAAGACTAAAAAATAAGAAAAGATGTGTCCGTCCCTTACATATTTGATACGTGCCTCTTACATATTTGATACCTTCTCCTGCAACGAAAGTAATAACTCCAATCCCATTAGTCATCTCATCAATTACTCGCCGATTAAAACTTGAATAAATTTAACTAATCCTCTTATCCCAAAAATGCATTATGATTAACAATAGATCACATACTTTTTAAATAATAAAATATAAGCTCGCAGTACTTAAAAACTATTTCAACGAATACTTGCAATTTCATTTGTCATAATATTTGTATTTCAATCTATTCAAAACACAAAATTAACGTAAATTGTTCTTTTTACACTAAAAAAATAGGGTATTTCTATCGGTTATTTTTTCGTATAGCAACGGCTTCTAACAGCCATAATATGCACTAATGACATCTTGAAAAAAAGTTGCGATCCCGTCTGCCTACAAACATATTACGGCGGTTTTCCAGAATAGCGATTTGTGCATAGAAAACTGCCATAATATGGTATTGGTTAATGCGGCCTTTATTTTATTTGTTGTGGCAGTTAAAAACCGTCGGAATTGTATCAAATTGCTAATCTCATTTTTTGTATTTTTGCGGTTACAACCGCCATAATTGCTCAGCTAAATTGGCTACTTTCACCCCAATATAAGAAAAAAAGACATTTGTTGAAATATTATTATATTAATTCTATAATTGCAATTTATCTAGCAATAATTAATTTTGATAATTTAATTATTTCATATTTACATCTTATCTGTTGCACCCTATACATTCAAACTTCTATAATACTTCATAATAATTTTAGCATAATATAAAAAGATAAATGAGCAAAAAATATTTATCATATAAAACACAAGTACTTCAACACTTCAAAGTTACATCATCCAGATAATTACTATTTTGATTCCCGAAGTTTGTGTAATTGGGAGGACTTGTTCAAAAGTTGTCTGTATTCCAAACCCAAATTACACTTCAGATTTTGCAATATTGTTTTCTTCCTAATACAAAAGGCAAAACTTCTGACCCTAATATGGTAAATTGAGATTAAAGAGTACAACTTAACATTCTATAAAATAAGTTATGATTAATGCCATGTATCTGAAAAAAGTCTTACTCTCTTCACTCCAGAGTTATCCGCAAATGTATCTGTGGGAATTAATCTTTCATTAATACCTCCAATTTTCACATAAAAATGAATATATAGTAGCTACTTCTAGTGTCTTCACTTCGCGGACTTCTCTGCTAAATTTAGGATTAACTTTTTGGTAATTCGTAAGGTTAATAATTTGTGGTATATCAACTTCTAATTTTTTCATATTGTTTAAATTGCACGCTAAAGGAGACAAGAATCTATTAAACGTATTTGAAGGTCCAAAGAAATTCCTTGAATTTCAAGTACTAGTAAGGACAAGAACGAAGAACTTAGAAGATCGAGGTCAAAAAATTTAAAGTTTTTAAAATTTCCTTGTCTTCTTTTGTCTTTTATTGTCTCCTGTCAAATCACACGGTTATATCCCTAAGACCCTAAGTGAAGTTCAAGTTCAAGTTCAACATTCCTTCCCTAGGAATTCTCCTTTCTCTTTCAAAACTACAATATATTATTACTAGTGGTAAACTCCAAAATTCTATATTCACACTACATCCTTCAAAAGAAAAAAAAAAGAAGGAAAAATAACCCATTTTGTCGACATACAGAAACATATATAACTAGCAGAAGGAAACCCAAATTTAGCAAAACATAAATAAAAGAGCCAAAAAAAAAAAACCTTAATTAGGGCTAACTTCAAAATTCAGAAGAGTGTTCAAAGAAAGAAAAAAAATGCAGCGTGCACTAGTTGGGAACTTATTGCAACGCGAAATTCAAATAAGCAGAAACCAAATCACCAAAAAAGTGATTAGATCACAATTACCATGTGAAGTTTTCATTAACCACAGAGGAAATGACACAAAGAGAACGATATCTTCATTGCTATATGATCATCTTACACGTTTAAGGATTCGATCATTTTTAGACAACAAGAACATGAAGCCAGGTGATAAATTGTTTGAAAAAATTGACAGTGCGATAAAAGAATGCAAAGTTGGAATCGCTGTGTTTTCTCCACGTTATTGTGATTCTTACTTTTGTCTTCACGAATTGGCTCTCTTTGTCGAATCAAAGAAAAAGGTGATTCCCATATTTTGTGATGTTAAGCCTTCTGAGCTTCGTGCTGTGAATAAGGCAAATCTTCCACTTCGACCAGAAGAAATTGTGAGATTTAATTTGGCTCTTGAAGAGGCTAAACTAACCGTTGGACTTGATTTCGACTCTAACAAAGGGTACGTTATAGCAATGACATATTATATTTTGAATTTAATTTATATTAGTGTCTAGATTTTCACGTTATTCATGTATTATAACTTGCATGTTATAGTTACATGTTAGTTATATTTTTACTAGGCTACCAACTAATGCTATCATAGAAATCATGATCTTGAATTCTACTACTAGCGATTACCTGATAAGTGGCATTATTGTTAATACTGTGAACCCACATAACTTAAAGTCTTAAATTTTAAACCATGCTAAGGTGTATATATAGGTGGCATCTTAAACTATTTTACGAAATATATTAATCATTTAAGGAGAGTTAAGTATGTATCTTGCGTGTCTTGGATTCATAGAGAGTATGTACGTAGTAATTAATTTCTTTTCATCTCCCTCTTACATTTGGACCATTTAACTTGTTTGTAGGAATTGGTCGGATGTGGTGACAAAAGCTGCTGATGTTGTCATTGAGAGCTTGATAGAGATTGAGGACGAGCAAACCAGAAATCAGACTACTCATATCGTTTTCTGATCGATGTCTTAATTTCGTGATACAATGACAATAAAGATCATATGACTATACCATAACCATACCATGTCCACCAAAATGTAAGAAAATAAAAATTGAATAAGTAATCAATTTCGTGTTCTAGCAACAGATTTTAATGATTTACTCACCCTTATTTTTTGTAGTATAATTAACAAGCAGAGATATTTTTAGTGTAACATGTCCAGCATATGTAGTATAGTTTCCGTTGGCATTATGTGACAGGAAGGCTGAATTAACTCTGTGATAATTTATTTATTGTTATCAAGTTTGTTCAAGTATAAAGTTCATCCAATAAAATTCCTTTAATGTTTTCGTTGTTTCTTTATGTCATTTTCCTCTTTCTTGTATTAGTTCAAGATACGATTTTATTTTTTTCTGCATTTGTAAAACCTCCTACTCTCTATTTTCCCCTATTGCGTGGACTAATGAAAAGGCCATTTTAGGTTACATTATCAAAATAATTTTTGGAATTTTCCCCCTTAAATGAAGAGTTATTATCACTTCTAGCCATCAGAAAAAACTAATGACAATTGGTAGGCACAAATTACAATATACATTTTATATCCCAAAACTATTTCTAGCGGCTAGCCACCGAAATTGACAAACCTAATTATCACGGAAACACAATGGGAGATGGCTTCTAAGATGACTTTTAATTTATTCAAAGGGAATCATTCATTATTTTATTCTTTTTTGGCCTTTATGCTATTTAGATAGTACTCGCTCCGTTTCAATTTATGTGAACCCATTTGACTAGGTACGAAGTTTAAGAAAAGAGAAAAGATTTTAGAACTTGTGGTGTAAAATGAGACACATATATTTTATGTGGATATAAATCATTTCATAAAGGTAAATTATTTTCAAAATGGGAAATGGGTTATTCTTTTTTACACGAACTAAAAAGGAAATAGATTCACATAAGTAGAAACAAAGGGAGTAATATTTTATACATATTTGTGAAGAATATAAAAATAAAACTTTTGTAAAAAATGTTACTTTTTGCCTTTTCCTATTTGAGTTCAATATATATGCCCATACTGTAAGTGAGACAAATTATTAAAATTTTAAAAATCAAATACTCCAAAAATAGAAGTTACGTGTATTTTGAGGGAAGTATTCAATTTTAATATTATTTCAATTTATTTATATTTATATTAGGTTTGTCACGACCCAAAATCCAACTAGTCGTGATGGCACCTAACACAACCCGCTAGGTAAGCCAACTTTCAATTATCCAATTACAATAATAATTATTTAAAAGAGAAT